GGTGTTATAACTAACGGACTATTTTTTTCTAAGCAAAAATGTGTATTATGTAAAAATACTTGGCATACCGAGGAGGAATTATCATACGAAATACATTTGCAGTTCTTATAGTATCCAAAATTATCAGTTGTCCATGGCTTGTTAACCCCAACGATAATGTTACCTGGGACAAAGTTCCTGGTTAAAAACCTCATTTTTCTCTCCATTTTATAAGAAAATAAATTTGATGCTCTAATTTTTCTCTTCTCTTTATTTTCTCTCCCATTTCCTCTTTTATTTTTTTCCCCACTCGGCCAAGCCAGGTACAGGGTAGGTTGAGGACAAAATTGAAATACTCCTCCAGTCCTAATTATAAGACCCAATTGATTTATTTGAGGAGATTAAGGAAGTAAGTTAAGTTGGTTATTTATAATAAATAAGTGTTGTCATTCTTAAAATATCCTTACTAATTAAGTATATTGGCTAAAACTATTATTATTAGAAGGATTATCTTGAAAAAAAATACATAAATATAAGAGATAAAATGGATTGAGGTCTTATAATTAGGACCAAATAAAAAGTCAAATGGGGTCTTATAATAAGGACCAGAGGAGTAATAAGAACAGAGGCACAAAATCCAATAGAATATGCCAAAAGACATCGAAATGATAATTGAAAAACGTCACCCAAAGGCCAAAGCTATGAATATTGTAATTTATTTATAAATTTTATATCATATATTAACATCGGTGATCCTCTAGACTGTTTTCGATAATATATACTGTCACGAATCAAAGCATGAAATAAGTTTCACCTTCTTTTCTTTTTCTGATTATTACTAATCCTAAATAGAAATAAGGTTTTCTTATAAATAAGTGGAAAAATGTTGATAAAAACATGCGCAAAGCGAAACAAATTAAAGACCCCTGTGGGAAATGACCGGGGAACGTGGGGGTTGTGGGAGCCGTGTGGATTTTCAAAGAGAGGCAGACCCCATCAACCCCTGCAAAACGACAAACCCAGTGGAGCAGTTGGTCACATCCAAAAACCCCACCCCTTTCCATCGCCCCGGACCGCCACCTCATGCTGCCGCGCGTCTACTCCACGCTCCGATCACACCCTCCCACCTCATATCACCTTTACCTTCACACGCCCCGTTCCGCACAGCGTGAGGCACCGTTTTCAGCTGATTAAACCTTTTTCATAAACAAAAAATGAAATTGAAAAACTTTTTTAAAAAGAGGTCGTCAGCGGCTCAGACTCAGAGGCGGTGGTTGTTCTGAGAACAATTAAGCGGAAATGAAAAATGATGTCCTACGAGCATGACAATGGTTGGTGACCCCACCACCTTACGTGTGTCCAGATCATTGGATGGTGAGGGTCTCTCCCTCTGCTCGGGACTGCGCTGTTTTCAGGTGATACTTCCAATAATGAACTGACACGTGTACAAATCTGGTTCACTGTGCAAGGTGCCTTTCTAGAGATCATAAACCCGCAATTATTTTGGAGGCTGTCCAATGACAAGGCGTCAGTATGTTGCGACCCTAAGTGGGACCCACTGCATCAAATTGCGGGTCGCTCATTTCCCATTGATCTGAATTCTGAGCCGTTGCCTTGGCGGCTACCGGGCAAGTCTTTTTTCTCTTTTTAAAAGAAATGGGCTTTATTTTTTAGGATGAAAATTTATTAAATTTTAATTCAACCAAATATGGAATAAATTATGCATTGCATCCATAACTCACGTATAATATAAATTTTTTATATAATATTTTCATGTTTTAAATCAAAATAATTTTAAAATATATATTAATTGCAAATTTTGTTCATCTCTTTAATTAGATGGCATTCGCTTATTGGAATTGCTTTTAGCCTCTATTATGTCCAGTATTGTATTTAAGGATGTTCAATTTGTTTTGTTCCGGTTTTGATAAGTTTGGAACAAGACCAAAAAAAAATTCGGGACAGGATCATCCTGTCCCGAAGTATTTTTTATTAAAAATTATTATTAGATTATTCAATTCATTTATTATTAATAATTATTATTTTTATAGTGATTTTCAACCCTTAAGTTGGAGTATTATCTCAACAAAATCTCTTCCTTCAGTAAAATAATTCATAAAACCATTATATAGTGTTTCGTTTACGGTATATTTTTTTACGGTATTGCTTTTACTTTTTTTTATACTATATAGTTGAACTTTCTGCATAATATTTTTTATAATATTTTAATCTTTAGAAGTCCAATAAAAAATAAACATTATAATATAAAAAAATTTATACAAAAAATTATAATATTTTTTTCTTAAAAAAGAGGGAAACGAGACGTCTCGTTCGTATTTCGGTCCCAAACCAGGATGAGATAGAAGATAGGAATAAAATCTCGTCCTCTCTCTATTCACCGAGACGGCCCTGTCCCAATCCCATCTTGTGAATAGCTCTAATTATATCTATATAATTTTCTTACTTATACGGGCTCACACACCCATCACATATATCTACATGTTTTTATTTTGCTCTCCACAACTTCTTCTATAAAAACACAATTTTTTTTCCCTTTTGGTGTAATTTTTGTTGCGTCCTATGCTAAAAAAGAAAAACAAAACAGTCAAATTCAAGTCCCTAACTTCCACGTTTGGAACAAGTATAAGATATTAGAGCACGAAACGGGTAAGATTCTTTTTTAATTGGGGTTAAGGCAATATGCAAATTTTTTTAAAAAAGTGTTGAAACCCTCTTGGGTAGCTTAGTGGATGCTACCACATTCTCTCTTATAATGTACCTAGATCATCAATGAACAAAAATTAATAAATGTTTTATTTTTAAAACAGTCTTTTACGTTCCTTTTTTAAATACACGTTATTTTATTCATTTGACATGATTTGGCTTCAATTCTACTCTAGCTTTGTACATAACCAAAATATATAATAGCTGGAATTGGTGTTCTTGCTTTTGAATTCAATACCTCCAAACTGAATCATCAGAGGGAAAATGGTTAAAACTTTAATGTTTTGTTTGGTAGAAAGCATTGAAGATGAGGGATAGGGATTGGAATTATAATTGAAAAAAATTATTAAAATAGTATTTCGCATGAGTAATTGCTTATTATATGGGACTAGTCAATCGCATGCATGTGGGATTGGGGAATACTATAGAGGAAGTGGTATTCTTCAATCCTACCTCTATTGGTTTGCTTAATTCTATATAACAAGCAATCTTTTATATTAAACACGTTTTTAATGGATTTTCTCAATCCTAACCTCAATCCTTATCCTTAATTTTTAATGCTTCCTACCAAACGGGACCTAAGAACCAGTATAATTTTATTATTAAAAATTAGGACTTTCTCATGCCTCTTTGACCCCTCGATGTATGAGAAATAATTTATGTTAATTTTATATTACACAAAAAGCCAATGAAATCAAATACAAATGCTATTTAGAAGTCACATAAGTTTGATTGATTCTTAATCTTACACGCTAAACTCTTTAATATCCGACAATTCTCATTAATTAAATGATATTCCGCTGATTTTATTTATAAGACACTTTCAGCATATTTCACCCAAATTAAGGAAAGCTTTAAACTTCATTAACTCTCATTTAAAATTTAATAACTTTCCAATTTTATTTCTATTTAATATATATTATACCTTATGTAAACAAAATCAACACAATAATAAATTAGGGGTAAAATTATACATCTATACAAAAAAAAATTATCTCAGTGCCCCATAAATACCATAAAAAATGTCTTTTTTCTCTGTCTTATAAATAGAACCAGAAGAGTAAATCAAAAGGACGATGATTGTTTATTACTGAGTTTTCATTGACAAGTGAGCTTCCCTCCTCAATGATGAGCTGAATGTCTATTTTTGCTGGCAACTTTAATAAAAATAAATATTTAAACAATAACATAACCCTCGCATTACAATAAAATATTATTTTTCCTATTATACATAATTTTTAATAAAAGTGCACAAAATAGAAAGTGCGCATTAAAATAACAGGGAACTTTTTTCTGTTGTTGCAGGATCCATAAGCCTATGTGCTCCAATCACAGCTCACCACCTTCATTCCCACCTCTTCTTTTAGTTATTTTTTCTCTCTCTACTTTGTGCTATGCTAATCCAAATTTATAACTCAGATTCAATGGAAACTGCTTTTTAAAGTTATATACTTCTTACACACGTACATATTTTCCATTTCCATTTCGGGTTCCCATCCTTTTTTGGCGTTGAACTGTTGGTTATTATTTCTTTCTATATTAAAATGTTGTTTATCTTTTATTTTTATGTAGATTTTATTTTCATCAATTAATCTTGATTATTTTTTAATATCAAAATTTTATTTTAACTTAGCATTTGTTCTTAGACTATGTTTAATCATAATTTAACATCTCAATTTTATTTCTAAATTTATTAATCTCGAAATCCTTTTCAACCTAATCATTAATCAAGTTTAATCCGTACAACATTGCAGGAGCCCAATTAAAAGATTACACGCACACAAAAAGAAAAGAAGCAAGAACATTGAATTTTTTTTTTCTTACCAAACCAAAATAAAATAAAAGGAAAAAAACAGAGTCAAAAATCAAATCAGTAGGTCAAAGGGAAAATAACAAAAAAAAGGTTGAAAATCACAAAATACTAAATAAAAAATGTTAACAAAAATTTGTTGTCATTTGTAAATCCAGTATTGCCAACACAAAATAAATTGTTTCCAATTCTAATTTGGGATTTAGTAATTTTTTATTTTTTTATAGATAAAAATAACTTATAAAACAAAATAAAATTCTACCTTGGAAATATAATTTAAAATATATTAAAAATTTAAATTTGAACAGTATAAAAGTAGACTTTAAGAGCAAGTGGGAATTAAAAACATAATTTACATTCCTTTTAATAACAAATCAAGAAAAAGAGGGAAAAGAAAAGAACTATCATTTCTTTCACTATGTTTCTTTTTTCCTCCGCCAGGGCACTCCCATAAATTCAGAGCTCCTAGTTTCCCGATTTGGTTTTATATCTTCTTCATTGCTTTTGGCTTCTCACCTTTTCGCCTTTCCCCAGTTTCCAATTGCATACCCAATTGAATTATCATTGAGTTAAAGTTCACTAAATCATCACTTCCTTCCCTATAAATTCTAAATTGTTGTTACAAGAATTCTAATCCTTCCATTCCTCAGTTTTCTGGTGTTCTTCTTCGCCTTCTCTCTGTCCCAGTTTGTTGGTTTCAGATCTCAGTGTTAGCTCTAGGGTTATCTGCTAGCAGCAATTCGATATCATATTATTAGTTCAATTTCAATTCGGAACCTTTTCCGTAGATTTTTATAAAGTGAGTCTTTCCCAGATTCCTAAGGAGTATTGCTTGCCCACAAGAAGTATTCTGATTCCTCTAAAATGCTTTCCGATTTATCCTTTATATTTTCCAGTAAAAATTTTTAAAAAAATTCAACCTCTTAGCATTTCTTTTCTGCTTCTCCTCAGTCTTCCTCTGTATCTCCTCTGTTTTTCAGAACTTGTTTCTATGCCTCTATAGTTTGTGTTTTAAATTCGAGGTGATGAAGTGGGAAACGGGAATCTTCTCACCTGGACAATACATAACCAATTCCAACTCCAGCTGGATTGTTGAAGATAATCGGAATACCAAATGGACTCGTGCTGAGAACAAAATATTCGAGAATGCTCTTGCGGTTTACGACAAGGATACACCAGATCGGTGGCAGAAAGTGGCTGCAATGATCCCAGGGAAGACGGTCGGTGACGTGATTAAGCAGTACCAGCAACTTGAAGATGATGTTGGTAACATAGAAGCTGGTCTGGTCTCAGTTCCTGACTATTACGCCTCTGCTCCTTCCTCACCTTTCACCTTGGACAGTTGGGCCAACTTTTCTCCGGGTTATGATCCCTCGCACGGATTCCATGGAAAGAGACCCTCCTCTGGAAGACCCACTGAGAATGAAAGGAAGAAAGGAGTCCCTTGGACTGAAGAAGAGCACAAGTAAGTTCCTTTGTTCCTGTTGCCCTCTGGGGTTTGGCAATTTTGGTGCGTCAATTTCGTCCTTGTAGATACAGTTTTGTTGTTAGTGATTCTGATATGTTATTTAAAATTGTTTCAAGTTTTGAAGTGCTGTGTTTGTTTTCATATGATTAGTTGATGATAAGATGGGGTTAGATATTTTCTCTCTATTTTGATAGTCAGCTTTAGTTTTATGCCCTGAAGCTTGATGATGAAATGCTTCACAGACTGTTTCTTCTGGGCCTGAAGAAGCATGGGAAAGGAGATTGGAGGAACATATCAAGGAACTTTGTACTGACTCGAACACCGACTCAAGTAGCTAGCCATGCTCAGAAATACTTCATAAGGCAACTCTCAGGAGGGAAAGACAAGAGAAGAGCAAGCATCCATGACATAACCACTGTGAACCTCACGGATACCTCAATCACACCTTCTCATTCACGAGACACCAACAAGAAGAAGTCCTCCTCCTCCCCTCCTCCAGAGAACCCCATGAACATGATGTTGTCTCACTCATCTCAGCAGCAGAATTCTGCAGTTCCCAGAACCCGGTTTCAGTGGACCCAACAGCCAATGCCTGCTCTGAGCGATCCTGCACTTGATAAACTGTTCATGGCTGATTCTTATGGGTTTGGTGATGACTTATCATCCTTTGGGTTTAGAATGCAGGGCCAGAATCTGCACACAAGTTCTCTTCTTCATCATGAATCTTCTTCCTACTTAGGGCCTCTCAGTCAAAACATGGTTTTCCAGATGCCATGAGAGAGTGTTTTACTATCGTACTGTTAATGATTATTATTGATGGCTAGACTGGAAGTAGTATGTTCCTGATTTGCTGAGTCGACTAGTATAGTGATTCTGTGCGTGGTGCTTTCCACTGTAGTTTCCATGTGAATATCTTAAATTAGCATTTTGAAATTCATGGTTCATGGACCTGAAAAAGGCACAGATAATTTGGTTTTTCTTGTTTTAATAAATCCCCCCCTACTTGGGTTTTCTTCCTTGTCATCATGGTTTTACCTCATATTTCAATTCATTTTAATGATAATTAGGAATTAAATCACTTAAACTTGCATATTTCGTGTACTTTTCTAGATAAAATTCAAACAAGTGGAACTGAAACTTTGGAAAAAGTTAAATATGTTTATAATGAGGGTTAATTACAAGATAAACTATAAGCATATAGACATAATTATCTAAGTTTTTTTAAATAATTAAGGGATATTAAAAATTAATAATGGGTGCCTAGACTATGCTCTCCACATTTGAGAGATATAACTTGGAGAGTTAGCCATGGATGTCGAAAGACAAGGCTTTTGTGATGGCGAGTGACAGAAGAAAGGTAGCACTAACACTAGTGTGTTCAATCATGAGCTGAAAAGTGTAGGAAAGAAGAATTATTATTTTTATAATATGAACATATAAAGTAACTGAGGCTTAACAAAGTTGAAATTAAAGTTTATTCCAGCAAGTTGTTAATTAATTATTTTTAAATTTAAAGTGTGTGGTCGTGTAACTTTTCCAAACCGCAAGGATGTGATTTGTGAGGACATCAAGGATTTAATTAATGAGATTAATAAAAATAAAAGGAGATTAAATAATATACTATTATAACCCCACCATTAAAACATGTCGGTATATAATGGGATTTGGTATTTTTATTAAGGTCCTTGTGTTGTGCAATCTTATAGATCCACAGTGAGGACTGGAGATGGCCTAGTGGGTTTAAATAATTTTGAAAATTAAAAACAAATGCAAAACTACTTATACCCAAATTTTTTTTGGCTATATAAAATTGCTTCTACCTGTATTCCTTTTAAGTTGACGAGTTAAGGATGAAACATTTAAATTAGGGGAAATACAATAATTACATGGTATATGTTAGGTTGGAATATTATTTGACTTTGAATGATATCATTTTCTTATTAAATAATTTTTTTCATCTATAAAGTTCAAGATTATGTGCTGATAAAAAGTCATGTTAGCTTAATCAGTGTTCTCATGGTTGGTTCTTAATTAGTCAAAATTTAGTGTGACTTCAAATACAAAAGATCTGTGAGGTTACTTTTTCTCGAGTTTTTATTATTAAGCGCATGTGAGAGCCTGCTGGCGGTATTATTAGATACTTATACTCCTTCGATTCTAAATATAAAACCAATTTTATAGTGTATATATGAGTTTTATATTTAAGACTGGAGGAGTACTAAACACAAATCTCTTTTACAAAAAAAAATCTCATATGAAAATTAATTCCCATTTAATTATTATTATCATCACATAAAAAATTTTAAAGTTTATATTGTCATGAGAAAGGTCATATAAAATAGTGAGTGAGTGAGCACTCCAAATTTAGGCACATCAAATATAGGATCTACTTGCCTTTCCATGTTATCCTATCCTGGCCTATGCTAATTAGTACTAACAGCGTAATTAAGAATAACCAGACACTTTGTTTGACCCTAATAGTATTATTTGCTGACTCTGCTTCCACCAATTCAATCAGATCTTCCCAAGTGATTCGCTTAACACAAGGAAGATCCTTCCCCGACTCCATTAATTAATTGCTTAATTAACAATAAAATAATGCTTCATGTGGGATTAGATGGCTATTACTCCCTCCGTTCCTTATTATAAGAGACATTTGATGCTTATGCCATGTTCCTATATATAAGAGACACTTAAAAGTTGTCTCTACTTTTTTGTGTTGATTTCCTATTTTACCCATATTTATTGTCTCCAACTCACACTCTCTCTCCCTCTCACTTCTCTTTCTTTCAATAATTTAATTATTCTCTCTCATGCTCTCTCTCCTTATTAATGAGGGCGTTTTTGGAAAAAAAATTATATTGATTGTTCTTAACTAATTTTAACTGCTTTTTTGATCAACGTAATTCGGTTATTCGTCTCTTATAATAAGGAACGGAGGGAGTACATTCTTAAACTTGGTTTCCCAATCACCTCATGCCACGTATATCTTCTCCTCCTCCTTGTTTTTTGTGATTCTTCCAAGTGTACGGAATAGAATCAGATCGACCAAATCCATTTAACTTGGACTTAATTTTTAAAAAAATGTTTCAGGCTGGTGGTACTATTGTTGTTCTTCATCATATCTGTTTAGAAATATTTTGATGCCATTTATGGAGACAAAGCTAAAAGACGTCCTTGTACGTAGCTTTTCTTGAGCAGATCTGATTCTTGTGATTTCTTTTGGTGCCTTTTTCTTTCATTTTAATTAAAAAAGTTTTAGTAAATACAGCATGTGTTGCGACATGTTTTATAACTAAAAAACACATTATTAACTCATCTAGCAACATTATTCTCACGTTCTCTTTGCAGGTAATAATATTTAAGTTTGTGTTCTTATTAACAAAGACTAATTTTTATTGTGTTGGGTTTCGGAGATTCTCTTTTTAGGTGAAGATTGAAAATTCTTCGGCCTCATAATGCTTTTTCTTTCAAAGCAACAAGAATCTTACCCTCCCACCAAGAATTGTGTGTGTGTGGAGCTTGAGATCCCTTGGGTCCAATGGCAAAAAAGTAAAGAATCAATTAAAGAATCAATTGTGAGGCCATCATCAATGATTCACAGTTATTAACTCCTCTCTATCAACATACTTACGTCTAGAGATATGTTAATAAAAATTCAAATCTTCATTAAAAAAAAGTGTATCCGACATTGCCTACACTACAAAAAGTAAAACTTTTTTTAAGAATAACTTGTCCTATTTATCAAAAACACTAATAATCTACTAATAATTTGTCTGAAATTTTTAGCATGTTTTTAGTATATAAATAAAGGCGTTTTTAAAAATTAAGTTATACTTTTTTTTATATTTTTATTATTTTTATCTAATTTTAACTGGCCTTTTAATCTGCATAGTTTAAATATTTCTTTCGTATAAAAAGATCTGATAGTTAAATTGTTGATTAATATGATACTTTTAGGGTACTTTATAGTTTGTATAATTAATTTGGTCTACTTACAATTAAAAAAATGTCTATATTATTAATTTCTTACAAAATAAGTGTATGATATTATGACAAACGATATTTTGGATGAGTCGTTAGAATATGTCATGTTTGATTTTAACGTACTACTAGATTAATTATCCAATGAAACCTATTGTTGTTTTAAAAATCCAATACATGCATCAACCACTCCATCTATTAATTACTATACTATCATTTTAAAATAATTGCTAAGCTTGTAATAAAGTGGCAAATGATTCTAATCAATAATCTCTGTGCTCTCATTCTTGTTTTCTTTTGATTTGTTTGTCTCATTCATTAGCACAAAGACAAGCTTTAAAGCCTTTTTTTTAATCATCGGAAAAGAATCTCCATAAGTTAATCAAACTCCAACGTTGAAAAAGGAACAATAATTGACTCTGGCTAATTGATAAGAACGAGGTTATTTTTGACCCCATATGCATTAACTTACTAGAGTTTTTTTTAATAAAAAACATGATACGCTAATAAGGTTATTAATATGGATTGAAAAAAAAGTATAGCATGACTATGAACTGAATTTGTTGGGGGAAGCATTTTTTTTTAATTTTTTTTCTTTTTCCTCTTTGCTTTGCTCGCCGTTTAGAAACACTATGATGCATCAACAGGAAAATTCTATTATTTGTGACTAAAAGTTAAACCTTTTAAAAAGTATAATCCCATTCCCACCTTTTGCGATAACTTTATTATGAATTACTCATGAGATATAATAGAAAAGCTTGTGTCATTATCAAGTTTTAATTGCTTGACCTATTTAAATTTGATCCTTCATTCCTTTTTTCTCTCTCTCTCTTTGTTTGTTTGTTGTTTTTTAATTTGGCTGAAAAACCTGGTAAAACATCATTCTTAACATATTTTATCTTAGGTGTAAGAAAAAAAAAAGGAGCTAGATAAATATAAGTCATAGAAAAATGCATGGCCTCAGAACACGAATGGTTATGGTCCTACAAACTAACGTTCCCACACAGTACATGGCCACATGACAAGACTAACCAGTAACCACCATCTTTTTGAAAAGGCAATGCTTTTTTGCAAAGTGGAATTTAAAGTATTTCGCCCACTTTATTCTTATTTCCATCAAAACTTATTCTGATAGCTACCATCAATTTCATGATGTCAGTTTCATTTTTTTAAGAACTATTAGTGAAAGTCCATGAATATAAAAAAAAATGGAATGATGAAAAAAAAATTGGAACAGAAAGAATTTATATTTTGTGTGATGCCATTTCTGATGAAGAAATTCTTGTCCTTTTCGGTTTCCCTTGAACTATCATACATGGCCATATATATTGTCTATCCCAAAATTTGACTTTGACTTAGTCATGATTTATAAAAGTTAATAATATGCTAAATCCACCATAATTATAACATAAACATTAAAATAACCAGTCTCATCGGTCTACTGATTAATTTTTGTACTAGGCATACCTAAAAAGTTTGACTTTGTTTGAAGTCAATAAAATTTTTTTCCCATCCTTCAATAAAACTCAGATCTCATTCTGAATCGGAAATGATGACCAAGAATAACTCAGAACCAGGGTCATGATTTTAGGCTCTATGAACAAACAGAAAGAACACTAAAGGATGTGTTTTCTAAGACAATAACATGACATCTTGTCAGGTTTGGTTGAGAATAGAAAACTGAAACCAGTACTTAGTATGAAGGTTCATGGTTTCATTTCATCTTCTCCGTACAATATCAGGCAAGGAGGACTAACCAGTTGAATTGAGTACTCGAAATCCAAACCACGAGTAGACCAACTGAATACATATGTGTGAGAATTTGAGTCCTTCATACTCCTTATGAACATGCAGAAACATTGTTCTCGGACTCGTAACTTGATTTATATTTATTTCTAAGGCGATGGTAAGTGTAAGCCATGACTAGAATTTATGTAGGTGAGAATGGAAACAGGGAAATATGTGACAGCTTATGATAGTATGAGCGCATTATCCAAAGAAAAAAGTTGAGGCAAGATTTGAAGGTAAATAGCTTCTCTCCAGAGCAAGAATCCATTTGTATTCAGAGTTTAGTAATCCTGAAGGCAACAATTATTATTATTTTGGTTCTGATGTCTTAGATTTTAGCCAACGGTGAATTTTTACATCCAATTTTTACCTATATTCTTGTTTTCCTAAGCTATAAACGGAAACCAATTTGTTCTGATGGCTTGAATTTTAAATTTTTGCAAAAGAGACAGCTTTAATGACAGCAAGCAAATGAGACAAGTGCATACCTCTAAGAAATTTAGTGCTCTTTGTGTAGTTATGATTTAAAGAAATGTAAAAGAATTAGTTTCGAAACCAGTCATGTTTTCACCTCATGGACAAAATCAACTTTCAGAAGGTCTTTGATTTTGGCAATATCAACTTTTATTTTCATCGAGGAAAGATTAGCAGGAAAGTCGAATCAGCAGTAAACATTTTTAACATAAACTAAAGGGAAAGTTAATTACAAGAAGATATATTGGTAGAAGCTGGAGAATACAGGGCAAATGGTATACCTGACTTTGTTCTTTGTTCTGCCAAAATCTCTTAAGCAAAAAAAAGAAAGAGAAGAAAATTAAAAAAACCTGAATGGTCTTCTCATTGATAATTTACATTGTCAAAATGGAAAATTAGAAACTCTGAGGAAATAGTGAAGATCATTTACAGATAAGAGGAATCTGACACCTACAAGGAACTCTGAGTTATTATTTTCATCTTACATTTTATGTAGGGGAATAGGGGATGTGAGCCAGGTGCCATTAGTAATAGAATAATATACAAGTCTAGGGAAGCCCTTCATAGCTTCCATCCACTTAAAGTTGGTTAGTGCATGTGCAGCTTTATCATAGCTTTCTCATGTTGGCAACCTCAACCTAACGACGTGAACCACTTCATGAATCTAATGCAAGGTTTTCATTTTTCAAAATTAACTGCTTGTTTAGGCTCTTTAACGTTTATTGTTATGCCATCTTCACTTGTTCCTACTGAACTAGATAAAACCATGGCGTCCTTCTTGTTTGATTCTTGTTCAATGACTTCATTATTTTTCGCTTCTGTAACTTCCACAGAGCTTGAACTGGTTACTTCATTAACCTTAGGTATGTTAGCACTAGCCCATTTGTGCTTCTCCATATCATCTTCGACCTCCTTGGGTTCTTCATGTATATCACTCACTTTTTCTAAGTCATCATTTGGCTCATTTTGTACTTTACTCGCTTCTCCTGAGCTATCATCTTGCTTATCTGACTTTGCTGAGGTGTCATTGTTTGACAGCCCTTTGATTTCAACCTTGTTGCTCATTTCTGGATCATTTTGCTTTGGCTCACCTTGTACTTTACTCACTTCTTCAGAGCTCTCATTTGGTTTATTTGGCTCTGCCGGGGTGTCATTGTTTAGCTGATCTTTGGCTTCCTCCTTGTTGCTCGTTTGTGGATAATTTTTCTTTGACTCATTTGGCACTTTGCTCACTTCATCCCAGTTATCATTTGGTTTATCTAACTTTGTTAGGCTGTCATTCTTTAAATCTTGTTTGATTTCTTCCTTGTTACTGATTTTCTTTGACTCGCTTTGTGCTTCATTTGCTTCTTCTGAGCCATCATTTGTCTCACCAGGATTTGCTGGGATGTAATTCTTTAATTTCTCATTGATTTCTGCATGATTCTTCATTGGCTCACTATGTACATTATTCTCTTCTGCTGAGCTATCATTTAGCATACTTGACTTTGGTGGAATTTCATCCTTTAATTCCCCTTTGATTTCTTCCTCGTTATTATCCTTCTTTGACTCGCCATTCACACTCACTTCTTCTAAGCTACCAGTTGGCTTGTTTGGCTTTGGTGAGTCAACATCTTCATTTTGAGCCAACTCTACAGCCATTGGGTCATCTTCTATATTTGTTGAAATACCAACATTCAGAGTCACTTTTGAAGAGCTTGATGTTACTTCATCATTCTCAACCACTTCTGTTTTGTTATTGATTTCCTCTAAAGTTTTCATTTGAGGTATAGAATCATCCTGTCTAACAATTGATGTTGATTTGTCTTCACTTCTTACTCCATTCCTGAACTTCTCTTGTCCTGCATCATTCTCCTTGCAGGAGATGTTTTCTTCCACAGGATTCACATGAAGATCAGCAGGATCCTAGTCAATTGCCAAAAAAAAAGGGCACGTTAGATCATGTTTTTCTCTTATTATTTTTACAGGAAAACTAGCTAATGTGCTTGATCAAAAAGTAATGTCCTTCTCTTTCTGGGTGAATGAGCCAAACATAAAAACATTCACAAGTATGAACTCAAACAAAGTGAAAATAATAGGAGAAGAACGGCAATTTACAAAACATTAACTATGTACCGTGTTTCTAGATATGATCAAAGTGTCATTCTCCTTCCTATCCACATCATCAAAGATTAATTTGACTGATGTGTCTGTGATATGGCAATCATCTGCCATTGTTGACAAGCAAGTTGGTTCCTGTCCATAAGGTACACTAATTAATCATCTTTCTTGGCTTGAAATTACAATGAAGCAGTAAGATTTCAATGATTTGTAAATTTCTCAGCATAAATAAAAAAGAACCATAATTTTCTACAAGAATTCATACCTGAAAATCACTACAGACACTAGTATGTGTTAGGGCAACCGGCTCAATAGACAAGGGCTGCATAATAGGAGGCTTGGTGTTAGAAAGAAGTTCACTAGTTGGAGGCTCTTGGGTCATGTCCTCTATGTTCAACTGGGGAACATCTGAACTTATGTGTTGATTAAAAGCAGATGAAGAAACTTGATCCATAAGGGTCTTGTCTGGGGACAATGATCTTGGTGAAAGGGATGAAAATGTGTTCATAGACACAGCATCAATTGATTCTTGATGTTGATGAACAACTGGTGGCCTTAGATCTACATTGCTTCGTGAGTTCTCTACGTCAGTGGTTGATGAATCAACCACATGATGATCCAGATTTTGTGCTTCAGTCTCTGAACTCTCAGAAAGGTTTTCCCTTTCCTGTGGAGCAGCAAAATTTATATGAATAAATAAAGGTGTATTAAATAAATAAAGGGTAAATTGCAGTTTGGCCCAAAATTAATTTGTCCCTGTATTGACTTACCTCTGGCTTTTCTGATTGTAATTCATGAGGTGGATAATCCACAGATCTACTGATAAGGAAATTTGAAGAATTGGAAGGCTGTGTTGCTTGAGTTTCCACGTCATCCATTTTCATATCACTGAAAACATTATAATCGTAATTGATTTTTTCATGAGTTGGAGTGTCCCCACGCGAATCAGATCTTGAGGAGGGTGAACTCACTTGATGATCCACAACTTGTGCTTCAGTTTCTGAATTTTTTGAAAGGTTTTGCCTTTCCTGTTTATGAGCAAAATTTTGACAAAATGAAAAATCTTGTCCTTGTCTTCTAAGCCGGATCAGATGGTATTTTCAAACTAAGCAGTGGAGTAAATAAAATGGTATTATATTGTCACAACGATGACTTACCTCTGGTTTTTGTGGTTGTGTTTCATGAGGTGGATGATCCACAGACCTACAAGCAAGAAAATTTGAAGGATGGGTTTCTTGAATTTCCACCTCATTTTTTCTCATATCACTGAACATGTTATAATCATAATTGATTTTTGCATGAGTTGGACTGTCCCCATGCAAATCAGATGTTGAGGAGAGTGAACTCACATCTATAACATCTTCTTCAACTTTTTCCAGCAAAGGGATGGGACTGCTCTTTGGGCTTTCATTGCTCATTTCTGCAATACCCTCCTCACTAGATCTTAAATTTATAGTGATTGGCCCTAAATCATCACTCCTAGGAGTAAGAACTGTCTCTTTATCAATTTCCCCATCAAACACCACAGATTCTCCATCTATTGTGAGTGTTGTTGGTGAGCCAATTTCTGAGAACTCTACTTGTAAGTCAGAAGCAATTGAACAATTTGGCTCATGAAAAATGCATCTATCCGGGAAAGGCATGTCTTCCTCGTCCTTACTGGTTGGAGAAGAAAGGGAATCAAGTGGGGCCTCAAACATAGCAGTACCAGTAGCTATTGGGAAGTTGAGGAACTTTTTATTAAGAGGCTTATGATGAGTTTTTGATTCTTCTGGCTTCTCTGAAACTCCAAATTTGTCATTGTTTGGGATCTTCTGATCGGTTTCAACAAACTCATGATTGGTATTTCCCATCAAGCTTGACTCACTTGTGTGATCCGAGAAGGATTTTTGTACTTTAGCATTCTCTAGCAATTTCTTCCATTTCAGGCCAAAGATGTTGCTAGTTTTGCTTTTGGTGTTCTCTTGGTCTGTTGTTTCGAATTTGACCAAGAGTGGTTTGGGAGCTTTAACTCCAGTACTTATATCATTGCCAGTCTCAATGCTCTTGGAGAACAATTTTTCTATTATCAGGTCATGGTTTCCCTTGTCTGCAAGAGTGAAAATGCAACTAGTTTGATCACTTATAATTATGTTGGAATAATTTTAAAAACTTAAAATTTAACTCATTTCATTAACTGGGGAAAAAATAAGTCCGCTCATTTTTTTTGCCACTCATTAAACTTTTATCTATGTGTCAAATTTGTGAACAGCAGAAATAAATTAAATTTGATGCCGTGAATCAAGATAATAGCATGAATCAGATAAACTAAAATAATTACATGTCATAATAACATGTGATTAGTTATATTAAAAGAATTTAGCAATGCAGCACAGAAGGTTATTATCTTTTTATTTTTGCTTATTTTATATTTTTTTATCATAAAAATGATATGAAAATATGTGAGTTTTTTCTCTTCATTTATATACAGAAAGGAAAACGTGAAATTACCAAAAGAGGCATTTCTGTTTCAAATTCAGTAAGAAGAAAAGACGGGAGAAAGTGGCAGTTATACCAGGAAGCCTTCTGAGCCTGTCTGAAATCCTCCTCCCATTGATGAAGAAAGGGCATGACTCTTCATCAAACTGTAATGAAGCGCCATAACTGAAGCTCTCATGTCTGCAAAACGTCATGTCCTTCGATGTGAACTCTTGGTGGAAGCTATCTCCTGTGAGATTTGGTTTCTCTTCGGAAGCATCGTACGGTATATCGAAAGGGTTTCGCGATGGTCGCAGAGCCGACGGAGCCGAACCAGGTATCTCTAATCCTTCTATTCCTCCGTAATTCCTCGGAGATTTTAACGGGTCCGTTCTTGCGATGTTTAGAGGAGCCATTCGGCTCGGAGAAGTTTTTAAATCAGCCAGACCTTGCTCCATCTGCAGCTTCATTTGTTGTCTTGCTCTTCTTCTCGCTATCAGACTCTCCAGCCTTCGGTTCCTCTCCATCTCTGAAATCCCTAGATCCATCAGGTTTTTTTGATCGTCTTTCGACCATTCTACTGCTTTGTTCGTTTCCTCTTGCGATTCTTCTTCATCCTGTGATTCTTCTCCTTCTCCCTCATCTTCCTCTTCCTCTTCCTTCTCTTCTTTTGCCTCCGCCGTGTCCTCGTTCTCGAAGGCAGGCTTACCGCTGCAACTATCCCGTTTGTTATTTTGTTGATCTGAATCAGAAGTTTTAACTTGGTCTCTAAGCGAAGGCTCCGATTCTGAAGGCCCGACTTGTGCATCAGTATCCTGGGATTTTCCCTCATAATCGGAAGAATTTTTTCGTTTCTCGAACGCAAGTCCATTGCTACAACCATCTGATTTGTTATTTTGTTGATCAGAATCAGAAGCTTTAACCAGCTCACTAATCGAAGCTTCAGATTGTAAGGGCGAAATTTGTGCATCAGTGTTCTGCAATTTTTCTGCTAAATTGGAGGAATCCACTTCATTCTCACTAGATTTAGCATCTTTCTTCTCACAATGACAACTTTCTACAGTTGATGATTCCTTGCCTTCTGCTTCCACAGCGGCATCTTGCACGTCCCATTTCTTATCTGTGAAATTTCGCCTTCTGCTCGTAGCATTTCTAGGTGAATATCTTCTTTCGAGAAGCATGTCGCGCTTCCCATAACTAGGCAATTTATAAAGATGCTTTTCCCTTTTTGTCGTTTCTTCTTTCTTCTTATCCTTTTTGTTATAACTGAGCTGGCCTTCCTCAGAACTCCAAAAGATTCTTACAAAAATGGCAGCGCAGACCAGAAATGGGGACAGATAGACTAGAAAGTGATAAATATAAGAGAGGAAAAAATATAGGATGCACAATATGAACAGAACACCAGAAATTAATGGGTGCCTTGTAATGAATGTAAAGCTAGCCTCAATTGAGACCTGAATCATTCTCAAGAAATAAACTGGAATTTCTTTCGCATTCAAACCCATCTTTGTTTCTTTGAGTTAATGTGCATAGAACAATGGAGAACTCAACTGGGGAAACTTAAACCCTTAATCGTTAGAAAACATGTAATTATGGTCATCGTGGTAATAATCGAGGGGTACTGACATGTTTGCTAGAAGGGTCCATTGATAAAATTTATGAAGAAACTCCGGTTTTCTGCCATGGAAATATGTTTATAAAAAGGGAGAAGAAATAGATGGGGTTTTGATTGGAAGGTATGGGATTTGAAATGAGTAAATGGAAGTGTTATTGTAGCTGATGAACAAATTATAGCGTTGACGAGAATATCTTCATGTTTTCATATGAATCCATCAAAAAGTGAAAAGAAGCAAAACCAACAGATGAAATAAGAGAAAAAGGTTCAACTAGCCTCCAAATCCTGGTAAGCAGTAAGAATTATTTGATCTTTCCCTCAACATATGGTTAGCCGTAGAATCATGAAGCGTTTAGTTCGTCCTTTTTAAGAAACCGATTTGTTTGGCTGAAAATTTCACGGGATCCACAAATTCAGGAGTTTTGCTCTGTGTTTATCTTACTTTTTTTTTTTGAACATGATGGGATGAAAGGGACAACATTTTCTTGGGCTACAGAAAAAAGGATTAACATAGGACATAGGTCAACGAAATGTGAAACTAATTAATATATAGATATTTGGCATTACATTTTCATTATGCTCTTCAGCACCGTTCTCTGCATATCTTTAACAAATATAGGACAACAAAAATTGAGCGGTTTGTATTATATTATTTTCGATTTTAGAAAATCTATAAGTCATCTAAATCTAATTTAAACCATGCAAACTAAATACCCACTATTTACATATCGATAGACAGACGCAAGAAATTCGAACACTAACCCAAGCCAACAATTTGTTGAGGAAATGATGAGCGATACTTTCTGGGATTTTTTTTGCATTCTATTCTTATGCTGACTCTGAAATTTCAAAGTAGAGGTATTTTTATTTATATTTATAAATTGAAGATATTCATTATTGTTCAGTGTCATTTTCAGTGACATCCATTTGTGACAACATGTTCCAAGACCTACTTTAAATATGGATGCACCAAAATATAAACATCTCAATCTAAACATTTTTCTTTCAGCCAAAATTTTTCCTATATTGACAGCGCCCTTTTTTAGTATACTGTGTGTATATACATAAATACGTGTGTATCGGGTGTTTTAATAAGATATGAGGAGCTATGCTGCTTTAAAATAATATTATACAAATGATAAGGCTGAGCCCCCCCCCCAAAAAAAATATCCGGTCTTAATATAAGATCTAATTGTCGAGTTGATTTTGGTCCTACATATAAAACCTATTTATCATAGTTATCAGTTTTTCTAAATTATCCCTATTGATACTTCCTCAACTATTATCAAGTAAAAGAGAGAGGGAGGATATTAAGAAAGATGATTATAGTATTTTAAGAAAAATATGTCATATTTCTTGTAATTAACTAACTTACTTAGCTTCCTTAATCTAATCAAATTAGTTAAATAAGTTTTATATTAAGAGCCGAAGGAATACAAGTTAATCTTGGGTGTTAAAACAAAATATGGAATACGAATGCTGAAGTCATTATTTTAGATACATCACCCATGTGGTTCTCTTTTGACTAGCGAATATAGCATTCATAGACTGTAGGAATTGGCTTCTAACGGATTAATGTAGTGAGCTTATTAACTAGTTTTCTCCTCTCTGCATGGCCTAACCATGCACTTTGTATTTAGAAAAAAGGAAAAGAAAAAAGATTTATGCAATGTACTATCAAATAAATCAATAAAAATGTATAAAATAAGGTAGATATTTAAGACAAACGAAACAATTACATCAACTTTCTTATATTTATTACGTCAGATTTTCTAATCATACCTAGTCATATATCTTATTTTTGAAATATTATCATTTAATTATAAAGCCAAAAGGAAAAAAAAAAAAAAGAATACATGATCATATGTGATTAGAAAACTTAATATAATAACCATAAGAAACTTGATGTAAGTATTGTCTGAAAAATAATTCACTTCAAAAAATTCTATTTTTATGGTCATCAGATTAGCCAACCGCAGCCAACGGCGCATGATATGATTGGAAGAATTCGATGAAGTTAAATTACCACTCCTTCTTATTTTAAATACAAATTATTTCTAATTAATTCATAGATAATAATTAAAAATAATTAAAAACATTAAAGTTTTCATAAAATTGAAGTTATTTTTAATGTTACTCTTGTCACCAACGTATTACCCTTATTATATATGGAAGCATATAAAAGAAAACTACATTTTAATAGTAGATGCCAGAAGGATAAAAGGTTTTAAAACACCAGCTAGAGAGGGCCCATGGCTGGAGGGAGTGCGTCCTAGGACTAGGAGTAGGACTATGTGTTTGACGGAAGGGTACAACAGGTAATTCATCCACGGTCTTCTTTACCGTATCTGTGAGTAGAACTTGCGAGTCCGTGCATGCAGGATGAAAGCCATGAACGTCCCAAAGAAACAAAGGAAACCCCAAATGATGAAAGTGCTTCTATAGCATTCCATGCCCATGCATTTCCCATCTCCACCTTCTTCACGATACAAATAGGAAAGAGCCCATGGGAATGTTGGCCACCACCACGTCGTGGTTCACGGAGATCTTGGTGCCAAATAGCTCCGTGGTTGTGGACACACAAATGGAAGTGATAGCTCCAGTACACACTCCAATAATCGCAGTACTGGTGCAGAGAGCAAGCTCAGTTTTGTTAAGCAGCAAGAAGAACGGTCCTGTTATTGGAACCATGAACACCAGCGTTGATGCTGTTCTTGAAATCCGGACCTTACCTCTGAAAGTTTGAACACAGGTCAAAACAACTATATAGTTTTTAAAGATTCAATCATATATAGTATTATGTTCGTATATGGAAGAGTTCGATATCAAATATTTTACCAGGGTTTGCTTTTCCAGTTACCTGCAGAAGTAGTCCATGAGAGATGGCATGAGACGGCCAAAGAAACCAAAAGACGAGGACAAGGACACCAAAGACGAAGTAGAGGAGCCCCTGGATTCAGCGGTTTGCCCGAAGTTGTTCAGATATACTAAACCGAGTGTTGCACCAAAGAAGTAGACGAAGAAATATAACCAGAAATCTATTCTTCTCAGCATTTGCTTCACTCCGATTTCTTCTCTGACACGAACCTCACGTAACTCTCTGCTGGTATCCTCTTCTTCTTCTCCCTCTTTCAGCTCACTCGCCATTCTGCTCTTCTCATTAGGATCGCCGTGCTTCTCCGAAGAACGAGGATGGACGCTTACTGCTCCTTTGTGAGTTTGCCTTGAAGACGCCACCAAATCGTTGATCTTCTGTGAGATTGGAACCAAAAAAGGCAAGAGAAGGGACACCAGCATGCCAATCAGATTTATCGTTGAAGAAAGGTTGCTCGGCACAAATTGCAAGCTGCTTAACACAGCATATATGCCACTGGGAATATTAATAATGAACATCAGAACAAACCCAACGCCCAGTATTTTAGGCCCTGCGACTTCAATTTCTCCAGTCACAGGAATTGCAACGAGGCTGACCATCAGCGGTAAGACGGAGTTCAAGAGAAGGAAGGCCTGAGCTTTTCTGTGAGGAGAAAGAACATTAACAATTTCTGTATAGATCTTTGCACTTAACCCTTGATAACTTGTTGATAAACCCACAGCAAGTTGGTGATCAGATGGGAAGTTTCTCAATGCGATGACATAGCAGACAGTGTTAATACAACAAATGCTATTTCCCGCCAGAAGAATTAGCAAGAAGACATGCCAATAGAATAGAGAGGAAATGTGGTATGTGAGGAAGAGATATGTGTTATAAGTCCCATATCAGGAAATCTCACAAGTGTTGTGAGGTTTATAAGTTTAAGAGGTTCTCCCTTCTAATAAGCTAGTATTTTGGGATTGGGCTCTTTTCTTAGGCTTGTGCTCATCACATTGGTGCTTTCATTGAGAGTCGGCCAACCGGAAAGGACTATCTGCGAAGGGTTCTGACCGGTAAGAAAACCGAGTGGAGTGCCGTAGAGTGGAGCCACTGGGACGTCAGCTCTCAAGAGGGGTGCTCTGTTATGAGTCTCATATTAGGAAATCTCACAAGTGTTATGGGTTTTATAAGTTCAAGAGATTCTTTCTCCTAATAGGCCAGTCTTTTAGGATTGGGCTTTTCCTTTGAGCTTGTGCTCATCACAATATGGTACTCCATAACCAATCAAGCGAAGGCTTGAACCCGTCATGAGGACAAGCCAGAGGGGAAGGTGAAGAGAAGCCATGCCGGAGAACCAGCCAAGGAGTTTTCCGGCATCGGAGGCAAAAGCAAGGTTATTGAGCTGCACTTGTGAGATGGAAAGGGTCTGCTTCAGTTGGGTTGAGTATGAAGGGAAATTGGTGTTGGTGCCATTTATGACTTGAAGCCAAATGATGGCCACAAGACTTAGCCATTGAAGAGCAATTGAAGCCATAACGAAGAAGGAGAGGGTGCTGAGATTGAGTAATCACAATCTCTACACGAAACGGATGAATAGGATGGAAAGGGAAATATAGGGGAGTTACCGTGAGAGAAGCTATGGCTCGTAGGTGAGCTGATAGTAAAAACCGCGCATGACACGAAAAACATACATACATACATATATATAGAGAACTTCAATTCCTACTCGGCAGTCTTGTCAAGAAATAGATCATTTCTTAATTTTAAGAAAATTTTTACTGAATTTTATCATAGTTACTTAAGTTTTTAGGGAAGTTAATATTAAAATTTATGACATATACTCTTAGGCAAATTATTTGTCGTGCCTTCAATCGGACGTCGTCCATGAGAGTGAAGTCGGTCTGCCCGATACACTGTTTGCTGCATGAAAATTCCTACGTGCGCGTGTGAAAATGTGGGATATACTCAGTTCAACAAAGATCTAGTTTTTGTAGTGTTACGTTGTTGAGGCCG